GGAAACAGAAGTCCTCCTTGACCTGGCGCCTTGGCCCTATGTACTTATTTGAAGAAGCCATCTCTGTGGAAACCACAGAGGTGATTAATAAGCTTGGGCCACAGTATTGTAGCAATTTCCAAGCAGTACAGCTTCAAGGTATGTGATAATTCCCATCTTCACCACTGTTTGTCAGGGCAAACACTCCTTTTAGTTTTATAATTTGCTGTTAGTATTCCAGCTGTGCCTGGAGCTCACTCTAAAAGCCTGGAACTCTGCCTTGCTGAGTGTTGTACAAGATTGTAGCAAGAGACAGTGAGGATCTTGTAACATACTCTAAATGGAACAGAAAAAGAAGGGCAGGAGTCAAGCAGCAGAGAGAGCTGGAGAGTAAAGAGGGATAACATGTCCTTGAGGAGATGTAAGATTGCAGTTTCTGTTGGACAAACATTAAAGCAGCAGCTTTAACTGAGACATTCTGCATTTATGGTGCTGCAGAAAAAGAAGCATCATCATCTTTAATTGCAAATGCCTGCAGAGTAGGAGAGAGCACTGGGGAGAGAAGGGTAGGGGAATAAGTTACATTCCATTTAATGAAGAGGCTTTTTAACTAAAGTGTACTGTTAGCTTCAATTATTAAACAGGCAGACAAAACATTTCAGTTATTGATTACTGTTTGCTCAACAAGTAGTACCTTCACCTCTCTGCTAGAGCTCAGAATGAAATGGGATGGTCATCTCCCATTTGAAAAGAGCAAAATAGTCTCACCTGATGATGCTCCAGCCTAAAGCAGAGTGAAAAGCTTGGCTGAAAATACTCAGAATGCTGTCTATCTGGACAACAGAAATTCCCAAGCATTGGAAGGAGTTGCTGAAAGAAAAATTATGTCAAAATACAGCCCTGGCAAGATGCTGTGGACTGTGTTGTACAGGGTCAAGGCTTTTTTCTGAATACCGTTAAGTGAAAATCAGATTTCTCTCTAAACTATGGTTTCCTCCACTTGTTTTACATCTGCCTCTCTCCTGTCTTGAATATTGAGCATGCAAAATTCCTTTAGAGTTTTATAATCTCTCTTGTTTTAGGTGAGGACAAGTACAGTGATCATAATCCTACACCTCTGGTGGCAGAAGAGAAGATTTCTTTTGGAATCAATGCCACGTGCTCATCTCTCACTACGGTCCAAGATATAAAGAGCTCCTACAATGAAGTAGATGGCCGGCTGATTGCCAAAGAGGTCACAAATTTCCATTATTTGTCTTAAACACATTTTCTCTTGTTTCTGATTGGTTTCCTAGAGTAAAGTTAGTGACTTTGTCTTAGTTACATACCTTCAGGGTTTTTTTTTCCAGCTTTTCTTCCCCTTCCTTAACCCTGTTCTACTCACAGTTTTGTTTTTATCTGTGGAGAGGAATAGATTGGACAGTATGAACACAATGTTAAAAGCCTTTTGTGAAGCAGCAACAGAAGCCATAGTTTTCAGGTCTAATGATAATTCATTTCAGTCTGTGATTTCTTAATGACCTTCACAATGACCCTTCACATGCTATTCTAACATTCTTGCCAATGCCAGGCCTACTGACATGTTGAAGTAGTGGGGCTGTGGGATATTTTGGGTGGGTGAATGTTTGTCCTAACAATCAACCTTGAATGAAAATGGTCTAAAATTAATAAAATAATCTAAGGTATTAGACCATCTGGCTGTTACTTTTTGTCTCCTCGGTACCACCACGGTTTTTCTTACAATGTCTCTTTTATCTGTTTTAGATTGGGATTAGCTCTCGGGACAGTTCAACTCCAATATTCCTAGCTAAGAATATTGCTGGACACCTCTCGGGTTCCTTGCGGACTATTGGGTCAGTTGCTGTGGGCCAATATGGTAAATGCACTATGCCTTAGCGTTTCATATTTTTTAAGAGTTGGGCCTTTCTCTGTCCAATAACAGATTTAGTCCATGTAACTTCCTGGTAGAGTAACGCTGCAATTTCCTAGGGGTGAGAGTGTTCCAGTCCTCTCCAGCAGCTACCAGCCTGAACTTCATTGGAGGCCCTGCCATTCTCCTGGGTCTCATTGCTATGGCCCGTGATGACCACACCATGTATGCAGCTGTCAAAGTCCTCAACTCCATCCTCAACAGCAGCCCAATGAGTGAAAAATTGATGAGGCACATGCATGGATACCAGGTAGATATTCCTTTGTTCATTTATTCTCATTATAGTCTCTCTGTTGGAGAACTTCATCCCAAAACCCATCAATGGCAATGAACCGATCTGGCGATAGGCACTTAACCTGTGTATTAGGAATTGTGTTGATATAAACAAGTGTTGTCTAGATTTCATTGTCTGTCCTAAATTCATCTTTCAGACCTGAAATCTGTGCAGACTGAAGAGTTTGGGTTTAAGCACTATATGTAGTATTGGCTGGAATAAGGCTCAAGTGTGATGTTTGAGTTCAGTATCATCTACATTATGCTGCGTAGGCTGGGCAGAGTCTTATGGAACAAAGAAGACTTCCAAACAAGACTCTTGAAATTAGGGCTTCACGCATGACTTATTATAAACTCTCTATTTTCCCCATTTGTGAATTGTTTATAAATTGATCCCGATTCATATGAGGATATTTATTGTACTTAGACATTGCTTGCCCAGTCTGTCTTGTAGGTGAGTGCCAGCCTTTAGCTCGTGTAAGAGCTGTTCCTTTTGACTTTGTGCTAAATAGTGCTCTCTCCACCTGACTAATCATCATGCTGCAATGGTGAGGGTTTGCTCTTTGTTTGGCTCTCTAAATCTTTTTTTTTTACAGCCAACTAATAAAAACATGTCTTAATATGTATTTTCAAATCTGACTAATCATCACGCTGCAATGGTGTGGGTTTGCTCTTTGTTTGGCTCTCTAAATCTTTTTTTTTTTACAGCCAACTAATAAAAACATGTCTTAATATGTATTTTCAAATGAATGTCTACTTCTCCCACCCTATTCAAAATGTAGCAGCTTTCTGAACATTTTTCTCACTGTATCGGGAATTCATTGAATAAAGAAAAGATAGACTCAGTTGAGAAACTGGCAGTTTCACAGAAATGTCTTTTATTTGAAGACGCCAACATTACATTACTTTGTTTTTAAGCTATCACCATTTGCAAGCAACTAAGAATACATCTATGAAGAATTATCTAGAAAACCTACTGTGCTTATTTACAATTATATTTGTATGTTGCTTTTTGTAAATTCCATTTGACGTAATATGGCATGTATCTTGCTCCTGTTTGATGCCACAGAGTTGTCAAACTCCTTCAAAAACTTACCCTTTCGCTTTCTGCACAAAATTATATGCCTGGAATGAAATCTTCACTTTCTTCATGATGCTTACATAAGATGTATGTCTATTACAGCCAAGCAAACTCTGTTTTGTCTTAAATTTAAAAAGTATTATATGTTAGTTTATGTATACAGATTGATACTCAAAAGATATTTATTAAATTCTTTTTTTTCAGCTGCTGACCTACCTATTGAAGAGGAAGACACAGCTGTTAAACAACAGGATTCTGCAGTTAATGTTCTCCCTCGTGGGCACAGCAGAGCTTGGCTTTGAGTCTTCAGTCATCAAGAATTACAGTGCATTCCATTATGTTCTCTGCAACTTTGAGGTAAAACTGCTGATTTTAGTTTGTGGGTTTGGCTGTATTAAAGATGGCTTGTTCATAGCACCTCCTGGATCCATTATCTGGATCCACCTCACCTGGGGAGGTGGTAGCTCCTGGAATGGCAGGTCCTCTGTCACCACAGCTCCCCCACTGTGCTCCAGTACAGTTTCTGGAGTGCTCCTGCAGACCCCAAGGATCTGCTCCTCAGGAATACCTCAGGAGCAGCAACTTCTCATGCTGGCCGGGATTTTCCAGTGTCTGCAGGTTGTCATTGCAGAAACAACTGGGAGTTTATGATGTTGTCCTCCTGGAACAACTTGTAACAGCTTCTCTGCCACAGGTTACTGTCCTCTCAGCTCTGCAGAGCAGTAAAACCCCTGTTTTCCTTTGCCTTGCAGCTTTGGATGAAAGCACCAGAAAATCTTGACCTTACACTTTTTTCACATCTCGTGGAGATCTTGCAGTCCTCCAGGTACACAAACTCGTGCTTGAATTGGAAACATGTGGGACAAGTTCACCTGTAACATGGAGCTGGAACTGGAGGTGGATTTGAAGGGTCCAATCTTAGTTGGAATCGGAGGACTTTAGGAGTAATCATTCCTATATTGCTCTTTCAAGGCCGGAGTTAGTGATTTGGCCACCCTCTGAGATGTCTGTGGGGCCAGACTGGGAAATGCTACCTGGTGACCTGGTTCACATGAAACCAATGCCATACAGTTAAAGTTCATGTCTGTGGGGCCAGACTGGGAAATGCTACATGGTGACCTGATTCACATGAAACCACTGCCGTACAGCTAAACAGTCTGCTGGGGAGGGGAAAATGGAATCTTTGAATCAAATATGAAATAATAATAAAAAAATTATTATTGAAGTTGTGTTTAAACCCAAAACACAACCCAGGAAGGCTTTTTTATAACAGTATCTTCCCTCATCAGCTGTACTAGAGCTAAATGTACCCAAAGAGACACAGCATGGGCGAGGGGATGAGTGGAGCAGGGTGCTAGATTCCTTCTTTTTGGTGCCAGAAAGCTCTGTGCAGAGCTCTGTGGTGTCCCTTGCTGAGTTTTACAGGAATAACGTTTATTACTGCCAACTCACTGCTTGAAAATTCAATAATGTTGTTTTCTTTGAACTCCTTGAAATGCAGCAGTTTCTGGGGGGAGAGGGCAGATAGGAAGGGTAGAGAACACACAAAGAAATCTTCAGATCTCCATCGCTGACACATATTCAATTTGTCTGACGGTGTTTGAAGTGTTGCCAAGGCAACATTAGAAGCCAAAGGTGCAAAGTATCAGTGCAACCTGAGAATCCTTTTAGCTGAAACCCAGCAAATTTTGGTTCTTTCCAGTAAAAGCTTTTAATAGTCACTGTGTTTTCTTACAGAGATGGATGTCAGAACGCTGCAGTTGCCCACCGGGCGCAATTGGTGCCCAAGCTCATTTTCCTCTTCAACGATCCTGAAATCAGTAACTCCAGGATCACAGTGGCCTGTACTATTCTCTCCCATCTGTTGCAAGGACACTTTAACACAAGGGATGTTCTCAGGTAACCTTCAAGTCTACAGCTTCTTCTCAGTCTGTGGATGAGCTACACTCCTGCCAGCGTTGGAGAGAGCTCTAGAGTAGAACTTCCCTCACCTCATCTTTGGTAGGAGCCCCCAGATCTTTGGCAACTGCAGGATCCCCACTGATGAAAAACTCTTTCATGGCTTCAGAACAGAGTTTAGTCCAACCTTACCTTTGTGTGACAATGGGTTGGGTGATGGCCCTTATCATGATGACACAAAGAGTTCTGCTGGTATGACTGCGACTACTCAACATCTGTGCTTAATATTTGGTTTCATTAAAGCCCCCCCTAAAGTATTGCAATCACTGTAGTATTGCAACCACGGCACAAATATGTACCTAGTCCTGTTGGTTTGGCTTAAATGCTGGTAACTATCCTTTTCCTTCTTGAACTTCAATCAGTTAAGATATGTTAGTCAGGACTTCGTGAAGCAGAGAACCTAAATCCTTGTCTGCTTTCCACAGAACGTAAACATTCCTATTTCAACCTTACTTCTGCAGCAATTAGAATTTCCAACGATTGTTGTTAACAGTCAACGTTAATGAGTATTGAGATTTGCATGTAATCTCAAAGTGATTAAATGAGTGTCTGTTTTTCTGCTGACCAAATCTGGCTCCCTTTTTCCTCTGCAAGGATTGGATTGTTCCTTGTTTACACTTTGAAACCTTCTTCTGTGGATGAAAATCAGATTTGCCTGGAGAGTGGGGCTGAGATGCCCGGTGAAGGTGAGGAGCTGCCTTTGGTGGATGTGTTCTGATAGACAGCTGGAGTCCTTCTTCCCCAGGGCATGAAGAACTTTAAATGCAACATTGTGCTTCCGCCTCCAGTGACAGGAAGAGATACCACTCAAATTACTTAGTCTGGAAAGGGACAGGCTACATTGAGGTGACCTGAAACTGCGGGGAAAACGTATGTTACTACAAAGACCTGAGGTGAAGAATGGTGAAGTGACAGTCACTATGTGTATATCAAGGAAGGCCTTGACCTACTGCAAGGTCCTCCTCCTGAAAAGGGAGTTCTGGCTCTTTTATTGTGATCTCTCAGTTGAGACTATATTGTTATTAAACATCTAAACAATGTATTATATTAAGGAGGGACTGATGACTGTAGTTTATATATGGAGACACTACAGCAAGGCAATACAAGTCAGATTGCCCATTTACATTTCCCTCTCTGTTTAACATGAGATTGCTCCCTGTGCATTACTATTCAATATGTGGATTTGAATGAGTTTTGAATAACTCTAAAGAAAGGACTTGGACAGTGTATGCATTGGTCATTTCTGATTTTAGCAGGAATTCTTAAGTCTAAAATCTGTCTGCGTTTTTTTTACTCCACAACAGACTAAGTACTTCCATTGAACTAATCCAGTGCAAACAAGGTTGTTCATCAAAGCAATGGAACATGTGTTTTGTCTCTTCATTACTCTTTATTACTTTCTGATATTTGTAGCCTTAAGCCAAACATCTGGAAAGACAATCTGGCTTCGAAACCAGTTACTGAAGATGCTGTTAGATGTAATGCGCTCAGACAAACTTCATCTGTCCTCTGAGTAAGTAGAAACAATTTAGGAAGGGATAGGTAAGTGTCTCTGTCTTCTAGATTTCCTCTTTTCTGGTGCTTGACCAGGCCTAAACACACCAATAATATTTAAGTCTCAACAAAATAGTAACTAAGAGCAGACTGAATTCAGAGTTATTTTTTGTGGGTGATTTATCTGGCATTCACACAGATGTGTGATCAGAAAACACATCTGAGATCCATCCTGAAAAAAAGTTTAATGTTTTCAGAAAATGTCTCAAAGGAGAAACTGGGATATTGCTGTTTCTTCTGCATTGCAAGGGTTGAAGAAATCCTAGCTGTCTTTGAAAATCAGTTCAGTCTAATGTGGGATTACTTGCACCCCTCAATTGTAACCACGAACACGCAGTTACTATAGTTCTACCTTTTATAACTGAAAGGCAGAGTTCGTAGTGCTGGGTGCTGTAACTGTGCATTTTCTTTAGTTAACACATCTTGCAACAGTCTGCTGGGGAGGGGAAAATGGAATCTTTGAATCAAATATGAAATAATAATAAAAAAATTATTATTGAAGTTGTGTTTAAACCCAAAACACAACCCAGGAAGGCTTTTTTATAACAGTATCTTCCCTCATCAGCTGTACTAGAGCTAAATGTACCCAAAGAGACACAGCATGGGCGAGGGGATGAGTGGAGCAGGGTGCTAGATTCCTTCTTTTTGGTGCCAGAAAGCTCTGTGCAGAGCTCTGTGGTGTCCCTTGCTGAGTTTTACAGGAATAACGTTTATTACTGCCAACTCACTGCTTGAAAATTCAATAATGTTGTTTTCTTTGAACTCCTTGAAATGCAGCAGTTTCTGGGGGGAGAGGGCAGATAGGAAGGGTAGAGAACACACAAAGAAATCTTCAGATCTCCATCGCTGACACATATTCAATTTGTCTGACAGTGTTTGAAGTGTTGCCAAGGCAACATTAGAAGCCAAAGGTGCAAAGTATCAGTGCAACCTGAGAATCCTTTTAGCTGAAACCCAGCAAATTTTGGTTCTTTCCAGTAAAAGCTTTTAATAGTCACTGTGCTTTCTTACAGAGATGGATGTCAGAACGCTGCAGTTGCCCACCGGGCGCAATTGGTGCCCAAGCTCATTTTCCTCTTCAACGATCCTGAAATCAGTAACTCCAGGATCACAGTGGCCTGTACTATTCTCTCCCATCTGTTGCAAGGACACTTTAACACAAGGGATGTTCTCAGGTAACCTTCAAGTCTACAGCTTCTTCTCAGTCTGTGGATGAGCTACACTCCTGCCAGCGTTGGAGAGAGCTCTAGAGTAGAACTTCCCTCACCTCATCTTTGGTAGGAGCCCCCAGATCTTTGGCAACTGCAGGATCCCCACTGATGAAAAACTCTTTCATGGCTTCAGAACAGAGTTTAGTCCAACCTTACCTTTGTGTGACAATGGGTTGGGTGATGGCCCTTATCATGATGACACAAAGAGTTCTGCTGGTATGACTGCGACTACTCAACATCTGTGCTTAATATTTGGTTTCATTAAAGCCCCCCCTAAAGTATTGCAATCACTGTAGTATTGCAACCACGGCACAAATATGTACCTAGTCCTGTTGGTTTGGCTTAAATGCTGGTAACTATCCTTTTCCTTCTTGAACTTCAATCAGTTAAGATATGTTAGTCAGGACTTCGTGAAGCAGAGAACCTAAATCCTTGTCTGCTTTCCACAGAACGTAAACATTCCTATTTCAACCTTACTTCTGCAGCAATTAGAATTTCCAACGATTGTTGTTAACAGTCAACGTTAATGAGTATTGAGATTTGCATGTAATCTCAAAGTGATTAAATGAGTGTCTGTTTTTCTGCTGACCAAATCTGGCTCCCTTTTTCCTCTGCAAGGATTGGATTGTTCCTTGTTTACACTTTGAAACCTTCTTCTGTGGATGAAAATCAGATTTGCCTGGAGAGTGGGGCTGAGATGCCCGGTGAAGGTGAGGAGCTGCCTTTGGTGGATGTGTTCTGATAGACAGCTGGAGTCCTTCTTCCCCAGGGCATGAAGAACTTTAAATGCAACATTGTGCTTCCGCCTCCAGTGACAGGAAGAGATACCACTCAAATTACTTAGTCTGGAAAGGGACAGGCTACATTGAGGTGACCTGAAACTGCGGGGAAAACGTATGTTACTACAAAGACCTGAGGTGAAGAATGGTGAAGTGACAGTCACTATGTGTATATCAAGGAAGGCCTTGACCTACTGCAAGGTCCTCCTCCTGAAAAGGGAGTTCTGGCTCTTTTATTGTGATCTCTCAGTTGAGACTATATTGTTATTAAACATCTAAACAATGTATTATATTAAGGAGGGACTGATGACTGTAGTTTATATATGGAGACACTACAGCAAGGCAATACAAGTCAGATTGCCCATTTACATTTCCCTCTCTGTTTAACATGAGATTGCTCCCTGTGCATTACTATTCAATATGTGGATTTGAATGAGTTTTGAATAACTCTAAAGAAAGGACTTGGACAGTGTATGCATTGGTCATTTCTGATTTTAGCAGGAATTCTTAAGTCTAAAATCTGTCTGCGATTTTTTTACTCCACAACAGACTAAGTACTTCCATTGAACTAATCCAGTGCAAACAAGGTTGTTCATCAAAGCAATGGAACATGTGTTTTGTCTCTTCATTACTCTTTATTACTTTCTGATATTTGTAGCCTTAAGCCAAACATCTGGAAAGACAATCTGGCTTCGAAACCAGTTACTGAAGATGCTGTTAGATGTAATGCGCTCAGACAAACTTCATCTGTCCTCTGAGTAAGTAGAAACAATTTAGGAAGGGATAGGTAAGTGTCTCTGTCTTCTAGATTTCCTCTTTTCTGGTGCTTGACCAGGCCTAAACACACCAATAATATTTAAGTCTCAACAAAATAGTAACTAAGAGCAGACTGAATTCAGAGTTATTTTTTGTGGGTGATTTATCTGGCATTCACACAGATGTGTGATCAGAAAACACATCTGAGATCCATCCTGAAAAAAAGTTTAATGTTTTCAGAAAATGTCTCAAAGGAGAAACTGGGATATTGCTGTTTCTTCTGCGTTGCAAGGGTTGAAGAAATCCCAGCTGTCTTTGAAAATCAGTTCAGTCTAATGTGGGATTACTTGCACCCCTCAATCGTAACCATGAGCACGCAGTTACTATAGTTCTACCTTTTATAACTGAAAGGCAGAGTTCGTAGTGCTGGGTGCTGTAACTGTGCATTTTCTTTAGTTAACACATCTTGGACTTTAAAATTTAAACCAGAATTTCGAATTTCATAGGTTGAAAGATCTAATCTGAGATGTAGTTGACTTCATTTATTGATACACACTCTCAGAAGGAGCTTCATGTTTTTGTCTGACAGTAATATAAGGTTGGATTTAGTGGGAATTAAGTGGCTTGAACTGATTGGATGAGTCTGTAATTCTGTGCTGCTCTATACCCTTAACCAGATTTTTTTCTAGAGAAACTTTAGCTTCTAAATCACTTAGAGATAATTCTAAATAAAATCCCCTTACTGTCTTTCACCACGTGTCTTTTCATGTGTTTTCATTTCCCTGTCTGTCTTAGGGAGCAAGAAGAGACGTTTTTGGCGCTAGGGCCAGACTGGTTTCTGCTGTTTACACAGAGCTACCTGCACTCCACCACGGTTGTGCTGGGAATCAAGCTGCTCCTGTGCTTCCTCCACAACCGTTTGCTGCTGAACAAATTCAAGGAGGGGATAGTGGCTGGGCGCTGGCTGGGAAGCAGCTCTGGGGAGACGACTATTCTAATGGGTATGTTTTGCTTTAATGCTCCCAAAACAATCCCTTGATCCAGCTCAGTGACAGGAGATCACTGATGGAGGTGATAGAATTCCCACTGATCTCAGTAGACCACGAATTGATATTACTTTCCAGACACAGCATGGGCGAGGGGATGAGTGGAGCAGGGTGCTAGATTCCTTCTTTTTGGTGCCAGAAAGCTCTGTGCAGAGCTCTGTGGTGTCCCTTGCTGAGTTTTACAGGAATAACGTTTATTACTGCCAACTCACTGCTTGAAAATTCAATAATGTTGTTTTCTTTGAACTCCTTGAAATGCAGCAGTTTCTGGGGGGAGAGGGCAGATAGGAAGGGTAGAGAACACACAAAGAAATCTTCAGATCTCCATCGCTGACACATATTCAATTTGTCTGACGGTGTTTGAAGTGTTGCCAAGGCAACATTAGAAGCCAAAGGTGCAAAGTATCAGTGCAACCTGAGAATCCTTTTAGCTGAAACCCAGCAAATTTTGGTTCTTTCCAGTAAAAGCTTTTAATAGTCACTGTGTTTTCTTACAGAGATGGATGTCAGAACGCTGCAGTTGCCCACCGGGCGCAATTGGTGCCCAAGCTCATTTTCCTCTTCAACGATCCTGAAATCAGTAACTCCAGGATCACAGTGGCCTGTACTATTCTCTCCCATCTGTTGCAAGGACACTTTAACACAAGGGATGTTCTCAGGTAACCTTCAAGTCTACAGCTTCTTCTCAGTGGATGAGCTACGCTCCTGCCAGCGTTGGAGAGAGCTCTAGAGTAGAACTTCCCTCACCTCATCTTTGGTAGGAGCCCCCAGATCTTTGGCAACTGCAGGATCCCCACTGATGAAAAACTCTTTCATGGCTTCAGAACAGAGTTTAGTCCAACCTTACCTTTGTGTGACAATGGGTTGGGTGATGGCCCTTATCATGATGACACAAAGAGTTCTGCTGGTATGACTGCGACTACTCAACATCTGTGCTTAATATTTGGTTTCATTAAAGCCCCCCCTAAAGTATTGCAATCACTGTAGTATTGCAACCACGGCACAAATATGTACCTAGTCCTGTTGGTTTGGCTTAAATGCTGGTAACTATCCTTTTCCTTCTTGAACTTCAATCAGTTAAGATATGTTAGTCAGGACTTCGTGAAGCAGAGAACCTAAATCCTTGTCTGCTTTCCACAGAATGTAAACATTCCTATTTCAACCTTACTTCTGCAGCAATTAGAATTTCCAACGATTGTTGTTAACAGTCAACGTTAATGAGTATTGAGATTTGCATGTAATCTCAAAGTGATTAAATGAGTGTCTGTTTTTCTGCTGACCAAATCTGGCTCCCTTTTTCCTCTGCAAGGATTGGATTGTTCCTTGTTTACACTTTGAAACCTTCTTCTGTGGATGAAAATCAGATTTGCCTGGAGAGTGGGGCTGAGATGCCCGGTGAAGGTGAGGAGCTGCCTTTGGTGGATGTGTTCTGATAGACAGCTGGAGTCCTTCTTCCCCAGGGCATGAAGAACTTTAAATGCAACATTGTGCTTCCGCCTCCAGTGACAGGAAGAGATACCACTCAAATTACTTAGTCTGGAAAGGGACAGGCTACATTGAGGTGACCTGAAACTGCGGGGAAAACGTATGTTACTACAAAGACCTGAGGTGAAGAATGGTGAAGTGACAGTCACTATGTGTATATCAAGGAAGGCCTTGACCTACTGCAAGGTCCTCCTCCTGAAAAGGGAGTTCTGGCTCTTTTATTGTGATCTCTCAGTTGAGACTATATTGTTATTAAACATCTAAACAATGTATTATATTAAGGAGGGACTGATGACTGTAGTTTATATATGGAGACACTACAGCAAGGCAATACAAGTCAGATTGCCCATTTACATTTCCCTCTCTGTTTAACATGAGATTGCTCCCTGTGCATTACTATTCAATATGTGGATTTGAATGAGTTTTGAATAACTCTAAAGAAAGGACTTGGACAGTGTATGCATTGGTCATTTCTGATTTTAGCAGGAATTCTTAAGTCTAAAATCTGTCTGCGATTTTTTTACTCCACAACAGACTAAGTACTTCCATTGAACTAATCCAGTGCAAACAAGGTTGTTCATCAAAGCAATGGAACATGTGTTTTGTCTCTTCATTACTCTTTATTACTTTCTGATATTTGTAGCCTTAAGCCAAACATCTGGAAAGACAATCTGGCTTCGAAACCAGTTACTGAAGATGCTGTTAGATGTAATGCGCTCAGACAAACTTCATCTGTCCTCTGAGTAAGTAGAAACAATTTAGGAAGGGATAGGTAAGTGTCTCTGTCTTCTAGATTTCCTCTTTTCTGGTGCTTGACCAGGCCTAAACACACCAATAATATTTAAGTCTCAACAAAATAGTAACTAAGAGCAGACTGAATTCAGAGTTATTTTTTGTGGGTGATTTATCTGGCATTCACACAGATGTGTGATCAGAAAACACATCTGAGATCCATCCTGAAAAAAAGTTTAATGTTTTCAGAAAATGTCTCAAAGGAGAAACTGGGATATTGCTGTTTCTTCTGCGTTGCAAGGGTTGAAGAAATCCCAGCTGTCTTTGAAAATCAGTTCAGTCTAATGTGGGATTACTTGCACCCCTCAATCGTAACCATGAGCACGCAGTTACTATAGTTCTACCTTTTATAACTGAAAGGCAGAGTTCGTAGTGCTGGGTGCTGTAACTGTGCATTTTCTTTAGTTAACACATCTTGGACTTTAAAATTTAAACCAGAATTTCGAATTTCATAGGTTGAAAGATCTAATCTGAGATGTAGTTGACTTCATTTATTGATACACACTCTCAGAAGGAGCTTCATGTTTTTGTCTGACAGTAATATAAGGTTGGATTTAGTGGGAATTAAGTGGCTTGAACTGATTGGATGAGTCTGTAATTCTGTGCTGCTCTATACCCTTAACCAGATTTTTTTCTAGAGAAACTTTAGCTTCTAAATCACTTAGAGATAATTCTAAATAAAATCCCCTTACTGTCTTTCACCACGTGTCTTTTCATGTGTTTTCATTTCCCTGTCTGTCTTAGGGAGCAAGAAGAGACGTTTTTGGCGCTAGGGCCAGACTGGTTTCTGCTGTTTACACAGAGCTACCTGCACTCCACCACGGTTGTGCTGGGAATCAAGCTGCTCCTGTGCTTCCTCCACAACCGTTTGCTGCTGAACAAATTCAAGGAGGGGATAGTGGCTGGGCGCTGGCTGGGAAGCAGCTCTGGGGAGACGACTATTCTAATGGGTATGTTTTGCTTTAATGCTCCCAAAACAATCCCTTGATCCAGCTCAGTGACAGGAGATCACTGATGGAGGTGATAGAATTCCCACTGATCTCAGTAGACCAAGAATTGATATTACTTTCTAGGGCAAGCTTGTCCCAGTACTTTAGCTTTTGTGTGCTGAAGAGAGGAAAGTGTTGTTTCTCCTTTGCATGAGAGTTGACATTTCTGATTAGCAGTTGCAGGGAGAGGCGCCTTTTTGTCTTGCATAAAACGAACTTTCCAGGGCAAGCTTGTCCCAGTACTTTAGCTTTTCTGTGCTGAAGAGGAAAGTGTTGTTTCTCCTTCGCATGAGAGTTGACATTTCTGATTAGCAGTTGCAGGGAGAGGCGCCTTTTTGTCTTGCATAAAACGAGGTGAGATGTTCAGATGTCAGCTTGTGCCCTGAAACCACCTATTTCTTTAAGATTTTTTTCAGCTTGCTTTTTGATAGCTAGACCTGTTTTACTGAGGAAGGGGAGAGAAGGGAAGAATTCAGGGAGGATTTCCTGTAATAAAAACGATAGTGGGGAAAATGATCTGTTAGTCTGAGAACGTTTTGTAAACTGTTGATATTGCAGCCTGGCAGAGTACTGAGTGGCCTCTGGGACACAGAGAAATGAGGATAAAATTGGGTCTGTAATCCTTCCTTTGATATAACATCCATTTTTAGATACTTTCTCAGAATGTTTTCCTTTTCTTTTTCTTTAAAGATAATTTAAAAGCTCATCCTCCAGTACCTGACAAAGGCCCCTTCTTGGTTTTTGGGTTTTCTGTGTTGCAAAGATGTCTGACTGATCATGTCCACATCCCTGAGATCTACTTGCTCGTGGCAGGGCTCTTTCTGGCAACTCCACAGCCTGAACCACCTGAAGTAGCCAAGGTATGAAAAAAGTAGTGAACAGGCATGAAGCTGCTGTTGCTTTACTGCTTTGGCATTTGTGGTCATTTCTCTGAAGATTCTCAGGCAAGTTGAATCTACTTGACTGTTGTGTTAGTTAAACTTTCATACTTTAAAAACAAAGTAAATTAACTTTCATTTAAGGAAACTTGTGTTCAGAAGAAACTTTTTCACACAGAAGTTAAAGGTTCATTAACTATTATATTTTAAAAGGTAATTCAGATTAGCTTTCCTGTCTGTTCTTACATTGTCAAGACTCATTTAGGATCTCAGAATTAGTGGATTTGAGTACATTTCCCCAGTGTCCTGAGATGCTATAAGGCATTTTTGCTCCAGCAGTGCCAAAGATACACTTCAGAAGAGGACAATCCATTAGAGCTATCCTGGGGAAACACATTTAATATGAGAGGGAGGAGCTGCTAGAGGTGAAGATGTTTTGGGTTTTTTCTGATGTGGAGAAAGCAGGCGTTGTTCTTGATGTATCATAAATAATTTCTGTCTCTTCTTTTCTCCTACTGGTGTAGAAAGATCTTGAGTCTATGTTGCAGTGGATCTTGCAGCACCACCCTACAGAGAATGTCCTCAAAACTGGGTTGTGTGCAGAGGCAGCTGTGTTACTGCTGGAAATGGTTAGAGTCACTGTGGACAAGGTAAGAGTTTTGTCACGTTTGCGTAGTTGCGTAGGAATATCTAGAAATGAGCAAAGACAAGCTTATAGGGATGAGAAGAACGTTGCCTTGACTAAATCTATGTTTGTCTGTGTTCAGCCTATTGCAGATACGGAAGCCTCCTGGGAGATTGCCTATCCAGGGAACATTATCCAGTTTCTGGGCTTGATCTATCACAGTTACAGCCAGGACCCCGTGTGGCACTGTCCTGACTTCTTGAGAACTTTGGCTATGGTGGCTTTCCATTCTGGACCACCCAAGGTATGTGCATCTGAGCCACATCAGAGATGGGTTGCAAGGAGGAAAAAATCCATGTAAAGATTAAGTCAAAATGCATTGCTGTCTGCTTCCACAGGGAGGCTCTGAAGGCCTTTTGACTCCTGATGATCCAGCCATTGCTGAAGGGAAAGGCTGTGTGGATCCCTCCTCTCTCCCGCTCCTCCCACACCCTGCCAAGAAACAAGTGTGGGATTTTGTGCGAGTTCTCCTGATGGACAGTCTTCTCAACATCCCGGCAAACAAACAAGGGCATCCGCTTGAGCTGCTTCTTGAGGTCTCTCTTGTAGTCATCAGGCTTTGCTGCTTTACCTTGCACTGGGGGTGAAAGGACAGGAGCTAGCCTGCTAGTGGCCTAGGGAAAAAAACTGCCAACAGGGACAAAGAGGTGCATCCAGTCAACATTTTCAAAAACCTAGGATAGGGCTGGGATCCCAGCTCTCGGAGCAAAAAAAAAAAATCACTTTTCCTTGGTAATGCTTGTCATTAGAGCAGCCCTTGAATTTCTTGAGAACAGAAGATTTCACATGGAGCATTCCTGTGTACTGATTTTTGAGACGATTTCTTTTCAGTGCTCAAATAAACCAAAACCAGCTGTCCCCACTTTGACTGCAACTGTCATGAGATAAATCATCTTGATAAATCATCAGCAGCGGTTCCCTAAAGGTTTACACAGTAACATCCCAAGGCTTGATAGAGTTTAAAAGAGAGGATGGCTCTTCTGACCACCTGAATCCTGAGCCTGGTAAAGGGAGGAGAAGGACTAAACTGTGCAAGTGAGCTGGAGTTGTCCTTGCTCTTTTTGCCTCTTCCTAACACGGTGCTTAGGTGTTTAAGGGAAATGTTGGGCATTTTGAATTATCTCGGATAGTACTGAGTGTTTCTTGGAATTTCTACTCGCTTCTTTGAGCAAAGATTTTACTGAATCTGGATCTTTGACAGGCATAATCTGCCAAAGATGCAATGAAATGAAAGGCCTTTCAATAAAGGCTGGAAGTGAATTGAAGGCTGATTTCCTGGCTGGTTTTCTGCTGTACTAATACGTATATGGTCACTATACAGACTTCTGCAGAGGATGCCACCAGTGAGCAGAAGAGACATTTTCAGACGAAGGTTTTGCTGTCTGCTATGGATGTCTTCCTTGTTGCCAGCCAAGGCGAGGGGAAAACAAGACCAAGAGGTGAGTAGCGAGAATCGGATCATTAGGGAGCTGGTATTTAGCGTGTAGATGTAATTGCTAGAAAGGTTTGGAAGCAGTAGGTAGGAGGACAGTGCAGCTCAGCAGGCTGGACTGTGCATTCCCTCCCACTGTGGGCCAGTTTGCATAAATTACTGTAGTTTCACCATTTTTCTAGTGAGCCTCTTCACTTTTTTCTCTCTTTTTGAGAACAGATTCTGAACATTAAAAAAGGAGTATTTAGAAAGAAACCTAGTTTTATCCTTGAGTGCTTTTGTGAACAACCCTGATAAGTTAGTTGCTGCTGCTCCCTCCTTTGAGTCCTTTCTGGGTTAGACCGTGATAGTCCTTGATATTTTAGTGAGATTGTTTCAGTCCTTTGCATGGAGCCATCATTTCCAATCTGAGTGAGGTATTTCTGCTAGACCCAGAGTTTTCTTAGGCATGTCCCAACTCTGAGATATTGTGGCATGAGATTGTTCCTTCCCAGCTCTGACAAATTCATGTCTCAAATAATTTTTTTTGCATTTTGGCTTGTTTTGGAATAATTGACTCTCTTGTATCTTCTCCAGGGAGCAGTGATCCTCATGGCGCTTCAGAATCAACTGCACCTGTGTCCATGATGAACGTTGCTTATTTTGCTCAGAAGCTGGTTGAGAAGCTGAATGGTAGAATGTTTGCTGCTGACCCCAAGCAAATCCTGATTTTCACTGCCAAACAGATTATGGGGGTGAGTCACAGGAAGTGTTTTTCCAACTGTTACCAACATGTTGTAATGTGCTCTTTCACACTGAGGTCGTGATACCACGATTCTCAAGATGGTTGTAATCCATTTGGTGATTGTGATTATTCCTGTTTTCTTGCACGAGCATGTAATGGCTCTAAATGACAATCAGAGGTAGATGGTACAATGTAAAGAAGGGGTAGTTAGCTCTTTTGTGCCACTCTATGCTGACTGTGTGGCTGAATAGGAATAAATTAATCTCTTCCACAATCCTGGGGACTTCAGCAGAAATAAAAAAAAAAATTGAATTTGTATCTAACAGGTACTTCAGGGGAATTTTGCTGAAATAAGTTTGCAATAGTTTAAATGAATTGAGAAGAGTAGATCCTTGGGGAGAGAGTTCTTTGAGGAAGCCAAGTACTCTGTTTTGTGTTTTCCCAGGTTTTAGAAAGCTCCGTTTCTCAAAAAGAAGTTTTTCTGACTACACTGTACAGCTGTCTAAACAGAGCCATTCTATTCTGCTTGTCCAGACCCCAGCAGTCGCTGACGGAACAGTTTAATGTCCTGAACACTCTCAATGTCCTGCAGGAGCAGTGGGACATTATTTTTGCAACTTACAACTCAAATAATCATTTTGTCATCTGCCTGATGTACTGCCTTTGCCAACTGAATTCGGGCAGGTATAAATGTTCATCTCTATAACAGTTGTTTACATTTCTCTGCTGATATCTGTGGGAGTGGGTACAGAGGGGGAGATTTCACAAAATTTAGGCAATATTCACTTGGCGGAATCAGTAGAAGCTGACACTGAGCTGGATTCAGCTTGACCAAGGACTTTGGGTGTAGGATATGTACTTTTCGAAGCAAGCATTTGACACATTGGGCTCTGCACTCTGGGGGTTTAAAGCACGAATCTGATTTGGTGTCTGTTGAAGTGGCAGATTAAAGCCACTTGGGGAGAGATGGTTGCTTTCCTCATAGACTTTAAAAAATGAAAAACAACACCAGAAATGTTTTGTTGTAATTTTTTTTATCATTTAATTTGGAGGAGAGGAATGTTACTAATGTGCTCAGTATTCTGGAGGCAATGGGTTGTCTTTCAGCCAGAAAGTGGAAGGGATAAACTGTTCTTCAATCAGAAGACTATTTTTTCCCTGAAATACTAGTGAGCAGAAAATTTCCTACCACCTCTCTTGCACAGAGG